AAGTCAATAGAGTCCCACAATGTGCAATGTTTGGTTCCAACTGCTCCGATTCAAGATTGTCATCTTATCAGAAAAGATAACAATGATGAGACTGCCTTAAAACTTTGCAATAACCCATGTCAATAAGCTATGAAACACGGACACTCTCGAAAACGTGACATATCCGTGTTAGACACTGACATTCTTTGGACACTCGAATATTTGTCCGAAACTCTTTTATTCGTGTTCATAATTAAATGATAAAATTTTAATTTCGAACATGTGTCCGACACCTATTTAGAACATGTCCACTACTAAATAATAGACATTTGTTGAAATGTGATCAACAATGTTTAAAAATTTGAGAGAATATAATTACTAATACTAGACATATTAAAATTGTACTCCAAATATAATAATAAGAAAAAGATGCATAAAAGTTTTAAAAAAGAGGACTTTAGAAAATGAAAATAATTATTTAAATTATATATTAGATACACATTGTTTACAAAAAAAAATTGATGATTATTAACTATAATGAGGATGTTTTAGTCTAAAAATTGACACAAATAACTAGACATTAGGTTTTCTTATCATAAAATACTGATTTTTTTATGAATTGTATATTATTATCACTATATTTGCAATTCGAGATAAAACCAAGTGTGGCAGGTATAACATTTCTTTAAAAAAACACAAAACAAAGAAAAAGAGAAGTGCAGTATTGTGTAGCAAGAAAATGGAATAAAAAAAAATGTGCTCACTTGGANCGGTTCCTCGGCCCTGCTAGCCATTTGCTTGCTCCAACTGTACACATTCAAAGAGAAGACAAGCTAAACAAGCAAGCCATCCAAGTTTATAGAGTCGAAGGTTAGAAAGAACTTGGAAGCTTTCCNATAATTAACTAAAAAATGGTCTTTCTAACTTCATCCCCCTCAAATGGTCTTTCCAGCCAACTTACTTTTATGTTATCAATGTGAGTTCAATCCAAATCGTCCAAAATTGGCCTAGGATAATCATGATATGAATATAAATTGGCAAAGAACTCAATAATCTCATTCCCAATTCTTCCTTTTCCATTATTTCTCCACGGTCTAACTTTCAACTGGTCAATGAAATTTATTATCACCTTTTTTTTTCCATTTCATTTTTTCTTTTTGTCTCCATTTCTTTCTTTAAAACAACTTCAAATTTATAGCTTAATCCCATCTTTTCATCCTCATTCTCATCCAATGCCCTAATCTATTCCACCTCATCAATTTCTTCCATTCTTTTCAAAAATTAATCTCTTACTAACCCTAATATCCCCAAAACCTTTTGATTTCATGTCTTCACCTTCTATTTTATTAAATCTAATATATTTGTATATTTATAACCTTCCCACGAGAAATACCCTTCTCCCACCATTGCTTAAACTAGACCCTAATAGCATGATGCTCAGGTTTTGGGCTTGAGTATTCCCAATCCCTTCCTTAATGATGTGATTTAGTGGTTTCGTGGTTAGCTCCCTTCTATACCCAAGTCCGTGTGTCTGGCAGCGCATGGGATAGGAACCACAACTTGCTGGTTACGGTTTGAACGACCATAACATTCTAATCAACAACTGCAGTATATAACCAAGTGTTTTGCTACTTGATTGTGTGCGCAACTATAGGCTTGCCGTTCGTGGCATAAACGAGTATGGGCTTTTAAATAGTTGTTAAGGTTCATCCAATCATTTTTGACCGGATGACCGAATGGGCTCACCGCTCTTAGTTCTGCTGGTCAAATCTTTCCCCAACCTTGTCCTCCTTTAGGGCTCTGCTCGAGGTGCGCGTCTTTGAATACTTTCTTTGTTAGTAAGCCTATAGCCTTGTTGCTAAAGCTGTAGCCCTAGCTTCTAGGAACTTCTGTCGTCCCGTTCATTGTGGTTCCTCGGCCCTGCTAGCCATTTGCTTGCTCCAACTGTACACATTCAAAGAGAAGACAAGCTAAACAAGCAAGCCATCCAAGTTTATAGAGTCGAAGGTTAGAAAGAACTTGGAAGCTTTCCAGTGACTAACTTAGCGCACTTTAGATGGTAGCCATTGGGTAAGTCTCTATAAAGAGCCACTCCAATTTCAATAATATTTTTATTTCTAAAAAAATATAGACAAGATAATGAAATAAAATATCACAAACCACTTTTGAAGTTAAAGATGGACAGCAGAGCCATAGAGCACACATATGGTTTAACACAATTAGATTGTATCTCTCATTTATTTTTGAAACCAAATATCTCAACACATACTATGTGATCTACGAAAGCTTACCCTAGTGTATGACGTTTTAGAGAAAGTCACTAATCGCGTTCCCACCTTGTTCCTTACACCGAAACATGTATTCCTAGTAACTTTGACATAGACATATTTCTTATGCAAAGATAGATATTGGACGTAAACCCTTCACATGAAGGATAACACTCCTTCTAAAGTAAGTCAATAGAGTCCCACAATGTGCAATGTTTGGTTCCAACTGCTCCGATTCAAGATTGTCATCTTATCAGAAAAGATAACAATGATGAGACTGCCTTAAAACTTTGCAATAACCCATGTCAATAAGCTATGAAACACGGACACTCTCGAAAACGTGACATATCCGTGTTAGACACTGACATTCTTTGGACACTCGAATATTTGTCCGAAACTCTTTTATTCGTGTTCATAATTAAATGATAAAATTTTAATTTCGAACATGTGTCCGACACCTATTTAGAACATGTCCACTACTAAATAATAGACATTTGTTGAAATGTGATCAACAATGTTTAAAAATTTGAGAGAATATAATTACTAATACTAGACATATTAAAATTGTACTCCAAATATAATAATAAGAAAAAGATGCATAAAAGTTTTAAAAAAGAGGACTTTAGAAAATGAAAATAATTATTTAAATTATATATTAGATACACATTGTTTACAAAAAAAAATTGATGATTATTAACTATAATGAGGATGTTTTAGTCTAAAAATTGACACAAATAACTAGACATTAGGTTTTCTTATCATAAAATACTGATTTTTTTATGAATTGTATATTATTATCACTATATTTGCAATTCGAGATAAAACCAAGTGTGGCAGGTATAACATTTCTTTAAAAAAACACAAAACAAAGAAAAAGAGAAGTGCAGTATTGTGTAGCAAGAAAATGGAATAAAAAAAAATGTGCTCACTTGGAGGAGAAAGAAATGAAACGTGAGAGATGCAAAAGTAATAAGGGCAAATTATCTTGGTGAGTTATTGTCTAGGAAGCACTAATATAGATACGAGATACAGATACGATACGATACACATACGACGACACAACAAAATCTAAAAATATAAGATACGAATACAACCAGAATACGTTTATAATAAAATTTATTATATCTTTAACCATTATTGAAAAACTTAAAAATTATAATTTATGGTAATTCTTTAACACTAGTAAACAAAATTAACAATTTTTACCTTAAAAAATGTGTAATATTGTCTTATTCTGATATATCCATAAAGTGAACATGACTAATTAAAAAAATTAGAAACAATATTTACCTAGTTAGTTTGCTTACAAATATTTGCATCAAAGGTTATAGTGTAACTAACTCATTTTTTTATACTCTTTTAACATATAGTAGATAATACTTAAAAAACACTCGCATTTTCAAAATCAAAATGAATTTGGTGATATTTTGTATTGTATGTAGACTTGAAAGGAAATGTTATAGATTAAAATTGAAAATTGTACAATTTGCTTCATATGTATAAGTATATGCAAAATATCCACATATTTTATTAATTATCGGATACGCATAACACGTATCCAATACGTATCATCAAGTATTCCATACAGGTATGTCAACCTATATGTAGTATCAGTGCTTCATAGGCTATTCTTCTTTTTCATCCCTTCATGCATTATCAACAACGATCAAGATTGATCCAAGTTTCATCTACTTTGATCCAGTGGCATAAAATTCATTTTAAAATATTTTTCTCCCTCAAAAACAGAATCTTCATGTCCCTGATATCAAAAACATAATCAACACACTCTCCAATACCAAACAAGTTCATTAATCCACACCTACCTCTCTCTTCTCTCTTATTTTTTCCTGTTCACTTTAATTTTAAATTACATAGTTAGAGGAAAAAATTTTAAATATTTTTATTTAAAATATAAGTATTGCACGATCAATGTTCGATTTTTTATCTTTACATGCACATTTATATGTATCAAGTCACAAACAAATCTTATTATAATAACCATGTTTAATCTAGTATTAGTTTCTTTATAATACCCAACGTTCCTTCAAAAATTAAGAATTTTATTTGGACTGTTGTCCTTAATCGGGTGAACACTAACAATTTATTGCAGGTTTGGAGGCCCTATAAAGCATTGAGTCCTAACATTTGCATTACTTGTTTGAGCAGTGGAGAATGCTCATTTATTTATTCATTGTAGTTTTGCATGGAACTTATGGAATATATTATTCAGTTTAATTGGTGAGCCATTCTACAGTAGAGCAAATACTACAGATTAAGTTTGGTGTTTTGGAAAGAAAAAAAGGAAAGTAAAGTATCATGGCATTATGCAATCATGGAGATTCTTTGGTGTATTTAGATGGAGAAAAATGCTAGATTTTTCAATAATCGTTCTCTTCCTTCTACTTTAGTATACGAGCGATTGATTTTTATGACTTCATTTTAGACCAAATCCACTGGAAGCTTTAGAGGGATGTCTTTGTCAGATCATCAAAGGAATTCGATGGCGGCGTTACATTAATTTTATTCTCTCTTTTTGTTAGCGTTTTTCCCTATGCTATTTTTTAAGTCACTCAGGTGCTAAGGATATCTTGTCCATTGTGCTATGTTTCTTTATTCCTTTCTCTTTATTCCTTTCTTCCTTTCTCTTTATTCCTTTCTATAATAAAATTCTTCTTTTATCTAAAAAAAAATCTATGAAGATGAAAAGATTGAAAAATGTACCCTAAAAAACAATGGAGAAATGGTAATGTTTCATCATACCTTGTCAATGTCATCCTGATCCTTTCTAGTAAAACCACTAGCAGCAAGTTCCTTGTCTAGGAAACCAGCGACTTTTGTTATGCAAGAAAAATTAGGCTTGCCAATCTCATCTAAATCTACCTCAGAACCATTAGATTCATCTTCATGTTCTTGAAAAGACAGGCCAAACCTGTCAGAAAGTGTGAAAAAACAAATGAATGATGACAATCAAAATGGTAATAATGACATCATCATCATTAAATGCCAACTAGATCTAAGGTTTAATCCCACAAAAACTCTTAACGAAAAACATTTACAAAGTTATTGAAAGAGGGCATTCAACCCCCACAACTAGGTTGGGCATGGTCCGCGCCAGTTTAGGACAACTCTAAAATTCTAAACCTTGGTCCACATTTTCCAGTTGGGCCCTTAGACCATTTCCTAGACCAATGCACTCCAGAATATTGGTTTTTTCTTCACGAAAAACACTAATAAGTCTCACTTTTCCTCCCAAAACACACCCAATCGAATATATCTTAGGACAATTAAGTCTTATTCTTCATCATTGATTCCAAAGAAGTCCTATTTCTTAGGGTGAATGAAACTTTGCATCCTAAAAGATTCTCAAATTCTCAATTTACACATTAAATTATTAAAATTCTCACATTACACCCTTAATCAGATAATAAGTAGCAATGTAGTACAAAAGTAAAATGTGCTGCCTTTTCCAACAAGCTTTCTTGTTTATTAGTTTAAGTGTTTTCAATAAATCTAGTACTCAATTTCCTTTAAATGGAGCACATTCTTACCTTTTTGTTTGATTGAGGATGTAATGTGGGAATTTCATGGTCATTAAAAGCAAGTATGGCTTGTGGGCTAATGGATGGGAAGCTAATGAGGTTGATATGGGAAGCTACCAAAATCCTTGGAAATTCATTTCTCAAGATTTACCTTACTTCTCTTTAAAGGTTAAGTTCATTGTGGGTAATGGGATAAGAATTTGGTTTTGGGAGGATATTTGGGTTGGGTTGTCATTTTCAAGTTTATTTCCTCGAACAGTTATCGTTTCTCGTTATCATGGTTATTGTGTTGCTTCTTTGGTAAGGTCTTATTCCATACCAATATCTTGGGATTTTGGGCTCCATAAAAACTTAAATGATAGTCTCTTCAAAGTTAGTGTCACTTCTTTCCTTGCTTAATTAAATCTCGTTGTGTCTTGATGGGATGGATAAAAGGTGTGGGTCATTGACTCATCGGGGTTATTCTCATACAAGTCCTACTTTGATTCATTGATTGATGATTCCTTCAATTCCTTTTTTTTATTCGTCATTGAAGATTTGGAGAGCTGAGGCGTCATTTAAAGTACAAGTTGGGCATGGGTAATTGCTTATGGTAGAATAAATACTTATCATATATTACAAAGGAGGCATTCTACTTGTTTGAGACCACAATGGTGCATTATGTGTAGAGGTAGTGGTGAAAGCGTGGATGATTTATTCCTTAGGTGTCCAATTGCATTGTCATTGTGGAATAAATTATTTGAATTGGTGTGCCTTTATTGGGTGGTCTCGAGATCTATTTCATCAATGTTCTGTGTGGATTTTAGCATTGTACTTTATTTTTCATTGTTTGAGGAATGCAAGAATATTTGAAAACAAAATGGAAGAGTTGGAGGGTCTATGGGAAATGACTTATTTTTTAGCTTCTTTTTGGGCTTTGGTGCCTAAGGAATTCGAGAATTTCCTCTTTTTTGTATTATTTTGAGCTGGACAGCATCTTGCCGATGTTAACAATTTGGCTTTGGAAGTGCTTGTGTATTTTTTGGTTTGTTTATGGCCGCAAGCTTATTTGTCCGTTTTGGGTTGGACTTCTTGTTCAACTTCACGTCTATAATTCTTCATTATGATTATGATTATTAATAAAATGTTTGTTTCTTATCGAAAAATTCTGTCGTACTCCTCAGAAACTGGTAAGATCCATGCAGGGTTTTGAGTTTTCGGCTTTTAGCTAATGGATTTAGCCTTTTGATTATGCTCTCTACTATGCTTCAGTATCTTGTTGAACAGAACAGGCTAGAATCCTGTCTAATCAATACTGCTAAAGACAAAGGTAGGCACAGAACCACTAAAGAGAGATCGCCTTACCTTGGAAGAATTTGGGAGAATGAGATAGCTAGTAGTGATTTTTATAAAGAGTCAAGTGATGGCAATGAGGAAAAAAATCTCACCCTTGATTTCATGTCATTTTACTTTGGTGATTTCTATTCAAAAAAGATAAAGGAAAAAAAAAAAGAAATGCAATTAAGAATTAGGACTTCTTTAGTGCCTATTATGAAAAGTAGGACTTAATTGACGGAATATAAATTTGATAAGATTCAATTGTTCATACTGGTGTTTCTCCCTATTTTTTGAATTGTTTATTGGTAATAAACATAAAAATAAGAAATATATGCAATAAATAATATATGTCGATATATAAAAAAATTATATTTTCTACATAATTTTGCTATTTAGGACCCCGCAGGGCCAGATCATAAACAACATGGCAGGCTAGCCCAGCCAAGAACAATGATGGATCAATTTTTTTGGCCCAGGCCTTGATTTTTTCTGAACTGGGCTGCACACTATCCACAGCCACTCTAATATGACTGAGTACAGGTCGGACGGGGGAAGGGTAGAGCAAAGAAAGAGAAAATAAAAATGAAGCATTTAACAATCCCCTTAATGCCTTTGGAGCTGCCAACAAACTGAATAACAGCCAAGAAACTTCCAAGCTTGCAGCAAACTCGGTGCTTATAATTGTAGGGTAAACTATATATCAAAAATTCACCGGCCCATATTGTTGCAATCAATCTTTTAATGTTTTTCTTTATATTATACCCCTTCCAAGCAACCTTTAATTTGTTTATTTTTTCCCCTTCAAAAACAGTACCGGGGATTTTTTTAAGCTACCAGGCATCACATTCCTTAATCCGTCAAAATATGTGGGTTTTGAACAGCTAAGATAATGATTTCTTCAATTCATTGTTCAGTAACATAATTGGAATTAGACTGAAACATTTTTTCAACTCTATCTATCCTCGAGAAAGAAATTTTCGGTAGTGAAAAATACAATTTGAATGCAGCCTTGACCTACATTACATCCAACATCCAGAGAGAATCACCTCATGCACGCACAAGATTCTTTAACTCCAGGAGCGCAAACAAGTTGTTAAATGCAAAATTAAAGACTCAAATTTTACAAGCATAAATTTGGTATCTCTCTAGAACTATCTATGAATTATAGTGAAAGGGCAGTGTCATGACTATAGAACACATCCATTCCCTTGCTGTTGGTCGAGGGGGAGAGAAAAGTAAGAAAACTATAGTTCACATGATGTTAACATTTGCCCAGTATTAGTTACCAGCATCATCAACAAAAAGGCCAAAAGCAGAGCCTCGGCTAACTACTAGTCAATTTCCCAAGACAACAAAGTTTCAGTAGTCTCAGAGCAAATTTACTAACCTCTTGCTGAAAAACTTAAAGATGCATTCAACATCACGGTCAAAGTACCTGTACAGTGGGAACTTATTAAGATATAATATATGGTATCCAGCTTACTCAATCCATGCAGATAATGATCAAAAAAGAAAGTAAGTTTGATAGATCAGCAGATGGGAAGGCATCATACATCTGTGCATTATAATGAGATACTGAAACCATTTGTGGGAAATCAATCATAGTGACCTTCTCCTCATCATCAATCTACAGTGACAAAAAAATATTAAAGATAAAGCATAACAGGCAAAAAATATATCCTGAAATTCAATGAAATGCTTTATGTCGTGACTTGTAAATCAATCTACCACCATTATTGACTTATGGAACTTTATGTAACAGATAAATTGTAATAGCAAGAATGTTAAAGGAAAAAACTATTTTAAGGCCATAAAATGGATTTTATTTAGTTAAACAGAACATGGTACAATATGGAGTACATCAACAGCATACCATTATGTTGAACTCATTGAAATCACAGTGAATAAGGCCATGCTCTGCCATGCGAACAACAAGACCAATGATTGTTTCAAAAACTATATCTGGGTTTTGCAATTGCTTCACCTGCACACTAAATCAGACATCATCATAAGCAACCTGTTGCTAATTAAAGCAAAATCATCACTATTGTTGAGAAAGTAGGAGAATAAGAGAAAGGGAGTAACTAAAGAATCCCAAACTGAGGCAGCTGCTAGGGGCGACACAGAGGGGTGCAAAAAGCCAACAGATCAAAATAAAGAGTTACAGCACTATTATGTAGTAAAGTTCAGAATTCCAATTCTTTGTGGTACACTGGTGCAATGCCCAGTTTTGTCTTTTAACAAGCAAGCTCCCTATCCATGCGTATATGTCTACATTTTATCTTCTCCTTTATAAAATTACATAAAAATTTACACCAAAAAACCTTTCTTAGAGCATAAAAATAAATAGTGTATGTATGCGTGTGGCAGAGAGAGACTGTCAGTTGAAGTTCTCCTGTTGTAGGAAAAGGACATTATAGCTATACGAATAATAAAATCTTCAATTATTTAAAAAAAAATGCATATTCAAATAATGATATTCGATCAACTAGAATTAATTAATCAGCAATCTGCTCAATGGGATCACATTGCTAATGGTCTCTTTACTTCTTTATACATTGTATGCAGCAACACAAGGAATTGGTGTTTAGGCTATAAAGTACCACACTCCTATCAAAATTTATATATGTATATACATATGTATAGATATACATATATAGTAGTATGCCAGGTGCATTTAACCACATTACAAAAGAGGAAGTCCGCCTTAGCTGTGTGATTCTTTAGAGATGCTTTTGTTAATCCAGTTTTTCCATCTTTTTAGATGGTTAATGCTCTTCCCGTGTCCCGATACATTCTAGCCAGTACCACAATGCATGATGGCCTACCAACTCAAGTACTTAAAAAAATGAAATACAAGAACCATCCATCCCCACAATTGTAAAATTATGTGGTGCATTTACTGTCAGAAGATAGGATCATTTGTCCCTATGGAGTTGCTTTGTATACTAATTTTGATTTACTTTTGGTTTCCTACAAACAAGTTTTCCTCTAAATTGGTCATTTCATATCTCTGCTTATAGCTGTTGAAATAATAAGTCTCATGGAAGAACCTATACAGATCTCAATGAACAATAATTACCAAGCCAAATACAGACACACCTGCCATAAAAAAGAATAACAATTGCATAAATGTTTATGGCTTCCTTCCATTTTCAAGGATAGTCACTTGTCTTCGACTATTTATTTTTTTATAGGAAACGGGAGAGTTTTATTAATCGCAAATAAAAAATGCATGGGAGGTCAAAATGAAAAAAGAAGAGGAAAATAGAAAACTATAAGGTTAAATTAGAATATAAAACAAGGCATTAAATCCTCAACAATCGTCACACTATTGATCATGTTGAAAAAATAAGCCCTTGATCATGTTGTAAAAATAACATTACCACATTGATGAAATATATTCTAAATTGAAAACAACATAATTATATTTATAATATATGATAATGATTTTAGCTCAACTATGCTGACCATATGTGGATTTGAGGAATCATGTATTCTGGAACATAATATTGAGGAATATGCTGCAAAAGCATTTCAAAGTGAACTCTTACAGTGAATAACCTCGAACAAGCGACATAACGACACAATGGCGATTGCAATCCACAGCACTTGGAACAGGGAAACCATGTTCATGCAAAGCCTGCTCAGGCAACAAATAAGTATCAACTTGACATTGAATTACAAAAATTCACCATACAAATAACAATCGAGAATGCAAATCGTTGAAGCAAACAACCTTCATAAAAGCAAATTCTTTGAGAGCAGCAAGCCGAGACAAATAGAGCCAATTATAGCTACTTCGGTGCTTCAAGTAATCACGCTTAGATTTGACAGCCCTAAATGAAATTCGACCCAATCTGTGCAGCTTCAACACTAAAATTGTACCGTCTTCCTTTGCAACCTCAAAGATATCTTGAACACAGTAATTGTTCCAACTGGTAAACTATATCCACATATTTTAATAACAACTTCAAATTTAGCAAAATATTTATATTACCAGACTCTTTTCCTACACCAATTTGACGACCAACAGCCGTAAATACGCCACGATTAACCATCACTTTAATAGCAAGAAAATCATAACCAAGGTAGGTGAGCCGGAACCCATCATCTAGATAAGAACGGGATGAAACACAGTCAGGTTTGTTTGCAAGGCCCCAAGAGTCTATGACTATCAGAATATAACTGTTATGCAGGGATATATTATTACGCACATTTGGAAGAGTCATGATGCAAAAGCTTGTGTTTCAGCAAATTCTTCAGCACCTTGTAAGTGCCTCCATGCCTGTTGATGTGAAAAGTAATCCAAGGTAAACACAATTATGCTGAGAACTCAGTTATTCTGCTGATAAATGGCACTGAACAAGTTACACCTACTTAAGGGCAGCGATGCGGGCAATAAGCTCTGAAGGTACGATTTCATGCTAAAAGAAGATGGAGAGAAAATTAGACTATTCATCATCACTACGACCACACCATGAAATTTCATAATCAATGTAGGCAAAAGAGAAAAAAAAAAATTAGCCATGTGCTCAATTGTTGCTCGATGGTTGAAGAGCCCGAAGCTGAGATAAAATATTACACAGAGATAGAGAGAGTGCATAGTTACGGACATTGCGCATTCCCATTTCGACAGCTGTGAGCACTCTGAAATCCTCTTTGGAGAGGTACCTCAGGACATCCACATCCAGCTTCATGGCTACTTTTTCCTGCTCGTACTCCTCCTGTTAATACATGTTGCAACACAACAATATGTAATCTACGTAGTACACACTTATCTGTCTGTTTACTGGAAATATACATGTAGTACAAAGAATAGAATTTTCATTTTACACTCCACTGTGTTACTTCATAATAGGCAAAATAATGCATCTTCACAATTAAAAGTGGTAGCTTCCCTTCAAATTTCCAATGACAAACTAACATATTCCAAATCAGTTGGCTAATTGATGGCCTTCATCAAATGGTGGATAAAAATACTTTCCGCGAAAATATGGTAAGAGTTTTTNCTTCACAATTAAAAGTGGTAGCTTCCCTTCAAATTTCCAATGACAAACTAACATATTCCAAATCAGTTGGCTAATTGACGGCCTTCATCAAATGGTGGATAAAAATACTTTCCGCGAAAATATGGTAAGAGTTTTTGATAAATTATATGACACAAAAAAATTATATGTAACGCATCGCCCACTTGTTGTGTCCAAATTTATGAGAACTATCGTGTCTGTGCCGTGTACTATATGTGTTTGTCTTTGTATCCGTGCTGCTTAGATTTTTACTCAGAAACTCAATTGCCTCGACCTCTCTAGGAAATAACTGTAGTATTATTCTTAAGAAATTTAGTAATTTCTAGTAAATCTTATATCTAGCCAACTTGTATGGTTTTTTAGACTAAAGGCTCCCTGTAGTCAATAATCTGCGGTTTTCTCAAAAAATACGTCATTATAATGATTCCTCTTATCTTCTCAATTCGCCTTCTTTAGCATAGATGCATCTTTGTCTTTCATTAGTAAATTTTAAGTACTGCCTTAACATGTATATCTTCTTTTACAGTACATTTCTCAAAATTTTAAACTTTTTTAATTACATTTAAATTCATGTTAATATTTTGGTAAAAATACAACCTAAATGAGTTGAGTAATAATCAAACGTAACACAATGAGTAATAATGAAAAAGCTGAAACAGTCTATTTAACATATTAACCAAATCAAGTTAAATGAATAAAAATGAAATAGCCGAAACAATATTTTCAACCTATTCACCAAATCAGGTTTAGAATAGGACAAAAAAGTCACCCCAAATTCAAATACACAATTGTGTTTTGCTTCTCTTCCACCTACATATATTGGTATGGAGGGGATCATAGGTTCTTTTATTCTTCATCCAACATCAGTACCAAGATGAAGTAGATCAACAAAGCTAGACAAAATTCCCAAATAAAGTAAACCGACTTTTTGTTTTCATGTTCGTAGATGGACATTATATCAACTATTAATTCAAACAAAATCAAGTCTAGAACATGAAAACAAAAAGTCACCCCAAACCTCTCCACCTTTGAAGAAAGCCCTAAACCAAATTCCACCAATTGTTAGCACAAATTTATCTCAGGAATTTGAGCAAACAGTCGGTGTGCCATTGTGTGGTTGTGCAGGTTTGATGAAGGGGGTGGGGCTGGGTGGCAGCAGCTCTGAATTTAAGATTTGCAACAATGATAAAATAATGCACTAAGCGAAGGTGAGCAATGAATCAAATAAAATTAAAAACGTTTCAAATGTCCTCTAAGTCAAATACAAATTGATAATTTCAAAAACCTTAAAATAACATCTAAGTCAAACAAAAATTTATAGAGTTACCCCTCTCTCTCTCTAGCTCAATAGAAGTTTTGCAAAATGGGACAAATGGGGCCAAGGATAACTTACCATGACTCTAACAACGCCTAATAAAAAAAAAATCAAAAGAAGACATAACGGCCAAAATTTCAAAGTTTATCACCCAACAAAAGCCTATATCATAATTCATAACAAAAAAACATTGAGTGTATTAGAATATGAAACATACAATCAAATTAAAACAACAATTAAGTTATTATAAAAAGCTAATAGCATATTGGCTATATGGAAATTTGATTATATGGACAATGGAAACTCTCTCACACACACATAACACAAAATCCATAAAAAAAATAACATTAAAATTAAAAATAGAATTAACTCTCTAGGAAGACTCTAGCCTTTATATGTTTGCCAAGAAGGTAAAAAAACAACTAATTAAACTTACTAAAGCATAAAAAAGAAAGGAACTTTAAAAGCCAACTTTAAAATTAACCTTCATTACTGGTTGTGCCAGTTTTAGTTTTCCAAGATAAACTCACCTCAAATCCCAAACCTTTATATAATCATCTCAAAAACACATTTTCAATTTGAAGTGAATGTCTTTAACCTATCTATGTATACCACATGCATACACAATAATCCAACGTTTCAATTTTTGAATTGCAATACAATGAAGCAAGCAATTGGGAAAGATTGAAAAGAGAGCTGACCTCTATACTCTTGTAGAACCCGCGCCTTTCTATAGCAACCCAAGCTTACCCAATTCTCATTAGCCTCCTACAATGCAAAATAAATTGCAATTGTTGATACAAAAACTTTTAATAAATGTTCGAATCAGTCCATAAATAGCCAAGCCTCATGAATATGCAAAAAAATTGTGAATGCATAAGCCTCACGAATATACAAAAAGGTCCAAATACACTTGCCCCAAGCAATCTAAATCACAAACACAAACAGTAAGTACATACATCATAGCCAAGCCAAATTCACCAAGATTCACCAAGAGAGAGAGAGAGACCAAGAAATACCAAGAATCAGCTAAATAAGAGCACAAATCTCAAAAAAAAAAATTGAAGGTTTGGTCCTCACTTGCTCCCAAATAAAAGAAAAAAGGCAAAATAAACATAAAAAGGTTGAACACTGAACAAACACAGATAAAATCGACTTGGCTATGTATCTAAACCTTATCAACTTCCAAGTGCTCGTTTCAATAATTAAAATCCTATTAAAAGAACCACAATGCTGATTCATCCACAAAATTGGATAGACAAAGAAAAAATTAGAGTTTTACCTTCACAATTTCTACACAGAACTGCTTCTAGTGTTCCTTCTTTCTTTGGAGCTGTTTCCAATTTGCTGACCTTTGCATCCAGTAAACCTAGAGCACATATATACGTTTGTAGAAATCCACTAATGAATTGGCAAATGTAAAACTGGAAGAAAATAAAAATCAGAGCGAGTGAACTTTAGACCAAAAAATTCAACAAAGATGGCAGCGAGTAAGAGATTGTCGACAAACAAAAATCCAGAACTCCTATCCCAAAAAACAATTGAGTCACTATTTGAATCTACTGAATTCATAATAATTCTATGGTCCACATAAGGATTCTCTTAAATCCCAAATCCCAAAGTTTTTTTCCTTTAATGTAGGGTTTCCTTTAAAATCTAGGGTTCGCTGGGTTGTGGGGCTATGGGTGTTGGCAGACGGTGGCGGTGGATAGAGAATAATCAGAAAGGGGGGAGTGTGTGAGTATGGGGCAGCGAAAAACGTTGGTAGTGGATGGCATGCGGGGTGTGGATGGCGATGGTGAGAGAGTGAAGAATCAGAGGAGAGGGGGAGACAGTTACCTGAGAGTGGGAAAGAGAGTGGTATTGCTGTGGTTGGTGTCGGCAGCTACGACGTCTGGGCAGCAGTGGTGTCTAATGGAGAAGAGAGATGAGCGAGGCAGCAGTAGAACGAGACACGGGGGACGGAGGGTGGGGATTTGAAGAAAGGCGAGAGAAAGGAGAAAATATTTGATAAAACAGCGATAAGCAAATAAAAAAATGTATAGTACGAAATAAATAATTTTTATAGTTTTAAGAGAAGTATTTGTAATTGATAAATAATTTTATTTGAGATTATTTGATAAATTTATTAAAATTTATTTTATTTTATATTATAAATAAGTAAAATAAAATTTATATCATCTATTTAATATTTTATTATTAGTTAGTGGTCCTATGTAATAATATTGATATTATATTATTATTACGTTTAAAATTTACTCGAGAAATAGGTGTGAAGAGAGAGAGAGAGGGGTTTTGGGGAGAGACGTGAGTTGGGGTGTAAGAACATCTCTAACACCCTTGCCAACCACTACCTTTTAGCCATTTTAGCCAGCAAACACTCTGTTCGTGTGCTCTGATGCTCTCACCGTTCAGCTCGCCAAAATAATCGAAGTCTTCACTCTGGCCAGATTTGGTGAGGACAATTCACTCACCAATTGCTGTCTTCCTTCCATTTCTGCACAACACAATGTCTTCCTTCTATTTCCTCCTTCAAGTATTGTCTTTATTTACATCAAATTGAGCCAAAGTACAAGCCTTGCCTCCTCTAATACTTTCTGAGAGCTCTGATACTTGCTGAGACCAAACGTTTTGATTTTTTATTTAATTTTTATGCATTGAACTTTTGTTTCTATGTTGAATCTCAAGTGCTTATGTGTATTTTTCCCTCTTTGTTCATTCTTGATTTTGTTTTTATGTGCGGTTTGGTTTCTTCAACTGGATTCAATAAGTTTCTTAAAATTTTTAGAGATGCGTTTATTTTAATTGTTCACAATATGTTTGATGAATTGCCTGAGATATACAGCTCAATCATGTTGTGTAGGCATTGTTTATTAATCAAGAAACAAAGTAATATATATATGGCAATGCTAATTTGATTTGATTTCTTTGAGTGATTGTTTTCGCAAATAAATTTCTAATAGCCAAGAGTGATAATATACAGAAGGTGAAGAAGATATAAGTAGATGTGTGATTTACATGTTGAATTAGATTCCTTGTAGCTTGGTTTATGTTAAAAATTGTTGTGGGTTTTGTAGTATGAAATGAACTAGTTTGTATTTGAAACTATAGAACATTACAAAGATTTCTACATGATTTTTACTGTTAAATTTGATCAAGAATTCAGGTTTCTAGTCTATGTTTTTGGCTTAATTCAATGGTGAATCATTTTCCTTGTGCTGCATGTTATATTTGATCATATTTGGGAAGTTATCATCAAAATCAGCACGAGGAAAGAAGATTGAGAGTGGATCATTTCATATCGTATCCATATCTCGTGAAAATTCATTTAATTCATGCTTGACCCATTTGTAGTGGTGTATTAGCACATTGGTGTAGGCTTATTTATCAAAAAGTATGGCTGATTACGACGTGAATTTATTAAGAATAAACTATGACCGGTAACTTCGTGTTGAATTGTGGGATCAAAAATAATTAATCCTAGAAGAAGGTCAATAAAATAGATTGCAACTTCAACCTGTCATTGGACCTTTCTTTTGATTAACATTACTGTTTGATGCTGAGTAATTATGTAAGTCATTAGGAAAGTGTAATATTTTGAGTCATCTCATGGACCCAATACCCATTACTTCAGACACCCACCATGCACTTAATAGCACCACCCAGCTCAGAAATGAATGTCCTGTTAGGATCATGCTCTCCAAAATTAAGTGCAAGTGATCGTTGGCTTATAATAGTCTAAAATTGTTGTAGAATCTAGTCTTACTTTAATGAGGTATACCTGTTGGTTTGCTCCCAGTTTTGCTCCCTGAACTGCAGTGTTGTTTTGCTCCTCCTTGACATGAATAATGTATGTTTTGGGTTGACTTCTAGGCATTACGTATGGAACCATTTGAACATGGATATTACTCCAATCTCTTGAACAATGGAGCAAATTTAGGTGAGTTTAACACTCAATCAGTAGACCAATTCTTCACTAATATCACCTCAAATAGAATCCACCATCAAAAAGGTTCTAGGCGGCAACTTTACAGTTGAGGAGGACTTATTTCTAATCTCGGGTTGGCTTAATATTAGTGTTGGTCGACAATTCAACTAGCCACCAATAAATTTTGTGGCTGTTTTGACCAAATTGAAAGGTTGAATCAAAGTGGTTTAACTGAGAAAGATAAGGTATGAGTGTATTTTAATTACATAGTATTATTGACCAATTTTCAATCAAAGTGGTTCCTCCTATTCTTTTATGATACATAGTATTTTTGTACAATTTTCAGGTCCGTGATGCAAAGAAGGTGTACAAGGAACTTCATAAATGTTCATTCCATATGAACATTGTTGGAATGAGTTACGATATCAATCGAAATGGATGAAGGATTCTCAGTCTAAGAAACCAAAAACAAAAGGTGGTGCAACTCCTAGCAGCTCTACCTTCAACTCCATAATCAGTAAACATAGGAGACGACAGTGGGAGCTTGGAGAGGCCAAGTAGAATGAAAGTTGTGAAAGAGCGAGTAAAAAAGTCAAAGAGTAAACTCTCTNCAAAAATAATTAATCCTAGAAGAAGGTCAATAAAATAGATTGCAACTTCAACCTGTCATTGGACCTTTCTTTTGATTAACATTACTGTTTGATGCTGAGTAATTATGTAAGTCATTAGGAAAGTGTAATATTTTGAGTCATCTCATGGACCCAATACCCATTACTTCAGACACCCACCATGCACTTAATAGCACCACCCAGCTCAGAAATGAATGTCCTGTTAGGATCATGCTCTCCAAAATTAAGTGCAAGTGATCGTTTGGCTTATAATAGTCTAAAATTGTTGCAGAATCTAGTCTTACTTTAATGAGGTATACCTGTTGTTTTGCTCTCAGTTTTGCTCCCTGAACTGCAGTGTTGTTTTGCTCCTCTTCCCTATTGTTTTGCTCCTTGACATGAATAATGTATGTTTTGGGTTGACTTCTAGGCATTATGTATGGAACCATTTGAACATGGATATTACTCCAATCTCTTGAACAATGGAGCAAATTTAGGTGAGTTTAACACTCAATCAGTAGACCAATTCTTCACCAATATCACCT